ACGCTTATGTGATACATAATAGGAAAGATAGGATTTTTTTTTTTTTTTGTAAGTATTTTAAGGGGCTGCAGAGATGGCTTAGCAGTTAAGAGTGCTTGCTACTCTTCCAGAGGAGCCCATTTAGGTTCCCAGCATCCAGGTCAGGGAGCTCACAATCACCTATAACTCCAGCTTTAGGGGACCTGATACCCTTTTTTAGCATCCACAAGCAAGCACCCACACACGAGACATATACACAAGCAGATGTGTGTGTATGCACATGCACACACCCCAACACACACACACAAATAAATCTTTTAAAAAGAAAGCATTCTAACATGGCCTGCTTGTCATACCTGGTATCCATTCTTCTTTGTATACCTTCATGTATCTTTTACTATACCTTTCAATGTCATCTAGGGGGGAAACAGCACAGCATTCATTAGACACACTGGAAGCACAAAGTGTAAAAACTTAAGCCATTCTTTTAAAATAACTCACATCACCAGATGTTTCTGATTTCCAATATAAGAAATTTCCTGTGTCCATACACAATGTGTAACTGAACAAATACTGAGAAGTTCATTGAGAATAACACGGTTAAGAAAGTGGCAAGAGACAGTATGACATGCTAGGATGGGGTGAGCAGAGACACAGAGCTTAATCCTGGTTCTCAGAATGAGACAACCTAACTAATCTGTGAGAATATTCATAAAAGGCCCGAGTCTGATTAGAAAGACATCTGTACACACAGGTAGGGAAGTCTACTCAGAGTTTCCTACTTTATTCTTGTGATACTGGCTCCAGCTTCTGATCTTTCAACATGTTCTAACTATGATTATCAAGTACCTTAGTAAATGGGAGGGCTAAGGGCTCACCTCCAGCACTTCATACACACATAATCAGTTCGCTAGGTTCCTCAACGAGCAACTTCTCACAACCGATTGGGGAGGAGGAGAAAAAGGGAGGCGTAGGAATGGCTGGGTGTGGTACGGACTTATTCCTAACTGGGGAATAAGTGAGCAGGCAGCAAGTCTTCTATACCAACTACTGAAAATTCTACAGATACCCTCTGAATTTGCCAGAGCCATAGTCATTTCTTGTTTATGATGTGTCCACCTTGCCACAGACACCTCCCTCATGATGTCCCTCACCCTTTCCAAGCAACACAAGTTGGCAAGGAAGACCATCACACAGTTTGAAAGCACAGCCCATCATAAAAAGTGGGTTAGAAGTTAGGCCCTAAGAAGGGAAGGTGATAAAAAAGAGGAATACCTAAAGAATCAAGGATTGATGTCAACAAAATGTCTAAATAACGTAGCCGTGAGTTAGGGAAAGGCCACCAAATCAAACAGGGGAACAAAGAGCAGAAAGAAAACTTAGAAATTTTATCAAGAAATTAATAAAAGCAAATCTGAATTTACACTTCATGTTTTACTACTTTTGAAGATAAATTTAACCAAAATGGGCAACCTCTTTTGAATGTAGGTGACTGTGACACTGTTGTCATATATACCCTACAATATATGTGTTGTGTCTCATAACTACAGATTGCAAATACATTTTAACAGGTTTTAACTTATTACTTGTGGTTCTTTTCTCAAATCTGCATTGTTGAACTGATTCCAGATGGGCTTCTAACACAGTCTGTCTTATCATTACTGTATTTCCGGTTCTTCCCATACCTTCATAATTAAAACGTAATATTAAAAAAAACAAACTTTCACGACACTGGGGATGTAGCTCAGGGAGGTAGTGCTTGCCTAGCAAGTGCAAAACCCTCAGCTTGTTCCTCAGTTCATGAAACTGGAAACAAGTAAACACATAAAATAAAAAACTTTGATGGACCAGACCTCCCCTGACAAAGGGAAGGCTCAAGCATCTTCTTTGCTCTGTACTTATGAAATATTTTCATTATTAAATGACAACATGATTAATCCAACAATTTAAAAAATTCTATATAACCTATTTCCTTTCGATCGTTTTTGTCTGTCTTTGGTTTTGCCTTCAGCATTTATTCATTTACAAATGACAGAGGATAAATGTTAGTGCATATATATCAAAATGAAAAAATATGGTTACATCATTTCAGCAAACAGGATGTCAAGTTATTAAAATTTATGTGGGAGGGCTGGACCGATCGCTCAGTGGTTAAGAGCACAGACTGCTCTTGCAGAGGACCCAAGTTGGATTCCCAGCACCCACATGGCGGCTACGGACCGTCCTTAACTCCAGTTCCAGGGGAATCCGAAGCCCTCTTCTGACCTCCACAGCACTGCACAACACGGGTATACTCACATACATGCAGGCAATACACTCATTTTTTTTTTTTTTTAAATTATGTGGTGCCTGAAGAGATTGCTTAGTGGTTAAGAGCACTGACTGCTCTTGCAGAGGGCTCTGGTTCAGTCCCCAGCACCCACAAGGAAATTAACAGGCATCTATAAATCCTGTTTCAGGGGATCCGATGCTTTCTTCTGCCCTCTATGGACATTGCATGCACACGGTGCACTTACATACATGCAGACAAAACTCATATACATAAAAATAAATTAATTAAAAAAATTTAAATTATGTGGTAATAATCCTTTTCAAAAATTTACTGCATAAGAATATCATATTTTCTTTTTAATTCCTAGAGGATTAAATCTGTATATTCACTGATCCTTATATTTGAGAAAATTTGCCTGGGGTCTTGTCCTCTGAAAACTCAGTCTAAGATTTTGTTTATGCAATTTCCCTTTCATCACTGTCCAAGAACCTTCCTCCTAGATCTTTGCATTCATCATCTGATTGGTCTAAGAATTGTAAAACATCTTCCTGAGTAAATGTCTCTATGCCATTATTAGGAGAAAATTTAAAAATTTGAATTCTCAATTATGTCAATGAAAACTAAAATAAGAAAATAACTAAAAAGATAGAGAGCTTCTGCAGACTTGCTTTACATGGTCAACACAATAGGAAAACTAAAAGATACAGAAGTGATTTGCAAACAAAATGACATCACTTGTCTAGCATCTCCAGATCACATGCTCAGTTAATAACAGTACCACAGTGCTGGGACACAGGGCTGGGTACTATCTGTAGTTTCAGGAATCTTCTGGTGGGTCTTGGGAAGTATTACCCCTGGATAGAGAAGAGATTGCTGTGGTGTATGTGTTCACATACATATATATATACATGAATGCATGCATCCTATTTAAAACCATATTTTGAACCACAGGCTTTTCTAAATATACCATATCAGGAAAGAGGGTCAAATAGGAAGAGATTTTATTTGTATCAGTTTGGAAAATCCTATATGAAAGTTCTCTTTCATATGGGATTAAGCAAATAATTATGTATATTTTATAATTTATTGCATAGTTACCAAGGATAAAGTGCCCCTTGGTCCAGGTTCAAGCTAACTACTCCCACAGACCAGTAATTGGTTTCTAATGACCCTGTCTAAAAGACTTATTAAGTGCTTGAGTGATCTAATACACTTTTTAAGTCAGACATGCTTTAAGAAGCACATTCAATTAGGTAAACATGTCCCCCATCTAGAGAAGAGACTGATTTTAATAGGATTTAAGTATACCATGCATTGCTAGTTAGAGGGCATTAGATACCCTGGAAGTGGAGTTACAGATAGTTGTTAGCCAGTATGTGGGTGCTGGGAACTGAACCCAGGTTCTCTGCAAAAGTAGTCAGTGCTCTAAACCACTGAGTTCCCACATTCGTAGTTTTAAAATGAGAATGAGTACTTATTAGTTTGTTTTAAAAAACACAAAAAATGAGGGGCTGGTGAGATGGCTTAGTGGTTAAGAGGACTGACTGCTCTTCCAGAGGACCCTGATTAGGTTCCCAGCACCCACATGGCATTGCACAGCAGGGGTGCTCTTATATAATGCAGGCAGAACACTCACCCACATAAAATAAAAATAAAGAAATTTTAAAAAAATTAGTGCCAACGTGGTGGCACACGTCTTTAATCCCAATGGGGAGGTAGAGGCAAGTGGACCTCTGTGAGATCAAGACCAGCCTGATCTACACAGTGAGTTCCAGGTCAGCTGGGGCGAGAAGGAAACCCTGGCTCAAAAAACCAAGAAATAAATAAATAAACAAATAAAATAAATTTGTAAAAATTAAAAAGAATATATAAAGTGAGAGCTTTAATTTTTAATTTTAATATTTAAAATTTTATGTGTGTATTTTGCCTGCATGTATGTAAGTGCACCCATGTCATGCAATGCCCTCTGATGGTTGGGAACTGAGCTCAGTCCTATGGAAGAGTAGCCAGTGCTCTTTAACTGCTGAGCCATCGCTCCTGCCCCCTTTAATTTCATTTTAAAATCCAGACAAAAGCATGCAACATAATTCTGAAAGTAGAAAAAAAAAATTCACTATTGTTGAAGCAAAATTCATCAAACCATTATACAACCTCAAGCAGATAAGTATTCAAAATTGAATGACTTTGTCCAACATGCTTCTCATAAAGACATGCAATGTATCATAAACACACTTCCTTTTTGACTGTTAGCCAATGTAGTCTCTTAGGAAGAAATGCATTTTTAATACTAATGGCACGAGTTGATACTATATGAATTTCTCATGTTTTAATGATGTTGTTTTGAGATTCTAAGATGATATTGATCTCTCTAATTTCAACAATCAATACAGTTCTGTTGTGCCAAACAACTGCTCAGGAGTGGGCTTACTTCCTCTGAAACCACTTCCCATTTCAGTCTGAGATGCCAGACCCAACTCTAACTTGTAATTTCTCCTCTCTGCCCTTACAATCAGGAATGAGTACATCTTTTGTATCACTGGAACATGAAACAAACAAGCAAACAAAAATCAAGGCTTTAAAATTTTTTAGCTAAACTGTAAATACTCCAAGATCTGTATTAAAATTTTAGTATAGCAGTAGTAATCATAGCATTGTATATGTAACCAAACAATGGAAATAGTAAATCTAATAGCAGGAAATCAGTTATACTTAATAATGCTTTATTAATAGTCATTAGGTTTCATTTTCCAAGAATACTAAGGATATTTTAAAGCTAATATATTACAGAATTTAAAAAGACAAAATATTACGAAAAGAAAAATTTTAAATATACAGTAGTTTTCCTTTAGGCATTTCTGTTGTCATAATTTTTAAAGTGGTTGATAAGCTCTGACTGAATTAACTGAATCACCATCCAATGAACACTTATTTCACATGTAAACATTATTTCATCTGTTAACGTCAAATTATAGCATAAGAAGTCTAATACACACCTTGTTTTTCTTCAGGTGCTTCAATAAAATAAGGCATTCTTTTCACCGTTTCTCTCAGTTCCTGCTTCAAAGCCAACATATAATCTTCATCTTCTCCTGTTTTCAGTGGCACTGGTTTATAATCTATATCCTATTTAAATTAAGATACAAAAGCTCTTTTAGTAAGCATTTCAGTGTCTTTTACTTATATTCTAGAAAACATCACCTTTATTGAGAAACTGTTTCATCAGCACTGAACTTTATAGCTCCAAAGATGCTGGACTTCTAGTTGGGAGTGGTGGTTCCCTCTTATAATCCCAGCTTTGAGAGGCTGAAGCAAAAACGTGCCTGACAGGGCTACAGAGTGAGTTCCAGGACAGCCTGGTGTACAGTGTGAGAATCTCATCTCAAAAAATTAAAAAAAAAAAAAAAAGATGTTGACATTCTGTAATCTATTTAACATTTTAGTCCATTTCCAAAAGATTTTACACATATCCATATTTATATGCACATGCAGTTGTGAATATCTAATCATAAACATATGTTCATTAACAAGTGGGCTCAAAACATACATGGTAAAGATATTTCTGGCTTCAGAGGATAAAGATACAATACATTTCCAAAATTTGATTCCCAATGTATTCAGTCATTAAAAAACTACTTAATAAGCACCTAGTATATACTAGAAAACAACAGATACCAAGATGAACGGGTCAAAGCCCCTGTCTACATGAACTTAAATCCTGGGGAAGAAACACACAGTAAGTACTCCAGTGAGGCCACATACATTTTAGGTTAATGAAAGCCTCATAAGCCAAATGAAGGGGAACAGAAGCGACAGAGAAGAGCACATGGAAGTTGGTGGCCACTCTGCACAGGGTAAGCACGCATGGCCTTGTTGGGCCGTTGTATTTGGGTGGGAGATCTGGACAAAATCAAGCAGCTTTTCATGCAAAGATGGGAGAATGGGTTGTTGCAGACAGAGATCCAGCAGGAACAAAGACCAGAGAGAACAAGGAGGGTAGCACAGCTGGGATTGACCAGGAAAGGCTGGAAAGACAGATGTGAGGAAGGTCAGGGCAGGTAGAGCTTAAGTCAGAAACTTCATTTTATTCAAACAAACTACTATTTGCTAACTTTCTCATAGTTAGAAGTAATCTCTCATACAGAGGGCTTACCTTGAAGGAAATCACTATTAAGGGACTTTATACCTATACCTGAAACACTTGTCTCTGTTTTGGAGCTGTACTGGGTATCAAAAAAGCAAAATATCAAGAGCTTCCGGAAAACATAATCTCCCTCTGGGAGCATCTAGACCTAGGATACAACTGTCCAGGGTTCTCTGCTGACATAAATCCTCAACAAAGAACCCTCCTGTTTGAAACAGGAAAAAGATTCAAGTATCTCAAGCATCTGGTTGCCATAACTGTTCATCTTTTACATCGTTTGTTTGTTTGTTTGTTTGTTTGAGACGGGGTCTCCCTGTAGCACCAGCTGTCCTGGAACTCACTATGTAGACCAGGTTGGCCTCGAACTCACAAAGATCCGCCTGCCTCTGCCTCCCAAGTGCTGGGATTAAAGGCGTGCACCACCACACCTGGCCTTTTATGCCTATCTGTAAACGTGTGCTTACTTTTCAAATTAAACCTAAAGTGAAAACATTGGCCTGTCAAGTATGGTTGTACCACACAGACTAAACGTAAAAGCAATACTACAAGTAACAGAAATGCTTATATTTCGAGAAATTAACCCAATTCAAATGACTTTGGTAAAACAGGAAAACAACAAAACTTGAATGAAAAAAAAGGTAGAATACTAAGGAGCAAAATTCTTTTTTATAAATACAAGAAGAAAATTGCTGGATGACATTATAGTACAGAGGGAATAATCAAAATTCCTTACTTGCTATTTAAAATATTATCCTGATAATTAGACTGCATCAGTAACATGAACAAAAGGTCTAAGAATTTTAAGCAATTCTTTCTTGGTACACAATACTGATTATATTTGTGTTGTTTTATTCTCTGTGTTTTAAGAAAGCAGCCTGAAAACTAGAAAAGGTTCTGAGAAGGACCAGGTACTTAAGTTCAAGGAAAGTGAAGCACATTCTTTTTCTTTTCTTTTCTTTTTTCCATCTTTTTTGAGACAGGGTCTTTCAGTAGCCCCAGCTGGCCTGAACTCACTATGTAGACCAGTCTGGCCTTGAACTCACAAAGATTCCCCTGCCTCTGCCTCCTGAGTTATGGGATTAAAGGCATGCACCACCATGCCCAGATATTCTTTTACTTTCTTATATTTGAAGGTACCATGATGGTATCATATATTCAATCCCTACAAATTGCAGTTTTCTTTAAAACACGAAAAAATACAGTGTGAAAACTAAGCTGTCGGTATACTCACAGGAAATAGTGGTGGTGGCTTCAACACGACATCAGGTAGCTTTTCACCTCTGCCGAACCCAACAGCCTCAATATTAAAGGTATAGGCAGCACGCCCTCTTCCTTTATTCCCAGCCATCAGAACCAGTTATAGCCCAAGTGTGGACAAATGCTAAAAGACATGGTTAACGGGTAAGATTTACCAGATCACACACAAAAGATACCAGCATTGTAAAGTCAAACGTAAAACTCCACCCCTTACATAGCATGGCTGATTTAAAATGTTTTGAAAGCAAAATGTATAAAGAAACAGGTGATTATTGAAGGCTGAAATGTTCACCCACAGCCACATTTGGCAAGTGAGAAGATGAGAGAGAGTCTCAACTCCCTCACTCAGGTCCTTGGGGGCAGAGCTGACCTGGACCTGCTTTGAGATGGTCCCTGAACCAATACGCAGCCAGCTGATATAAATGTCTGCATCTCTCTGTGGTCTGATAACAAGACCTCAGATATATAGAAAAAGAGGATAAAACTGGGCTGATGAGAAGAAATCTTACTTTTAAATATACTGACATGAGCACTGTTGTTAGTTACACATAGTTTAAAACTTTACATGAGTTATTTATCCTAGAATAGTGTGAGAAAGGACCTTGAGATCTATCTCACTTGCCAAATGTGGCAGGGAATGAGATCAGCAAGACTCAGTCTGATTAAGCCAAATTTTAGTAATGAGTGGCTGAGAAAGCCTCTCAAATTGTTAGATAAGGTAAACCTGTGCTCTCGGAGTTATATCAAATGTTCAGGACTTGACTGGAAGTTATAAAATACCTGAAACACGACTCTCTCTAAAGGTCAGCTTCCTTCCTTCCTTCCTTCCTTCTTTCCTTCCTTCCTTCCTTCCTTCCTTCCTTCCCTTCCTTCCTTTCCTTCCCTCCTTCCCTCCCTCCCTCTCAGACAGGTTATCACAGTGTAGCCCTGACCATCATGTAGATTAGGCTGGCCTTGAACTTACAGTGATCCTCCTGCCTCTGCCTCCCAATGCTGCTATTATAGGAGTGTACCATCATACCTGAAAAGAGCCTTGCTTCCTCTGTGTGTATGTGTATGTATGGTGTATGAGTGTATACATGTGTGTGTGGATGCACTTACCTGTGCAGTGCTGACATCAGATGTCTTACATAGTTGCTTCCCTATCTTTTTTTTTGAGACATGGTCTCTCACTGAACCTGGAGCTTGAGACTATCTGGCTAGTGAGTCCCAGTGAGCCACCTGTCTTCAGTCCCTAGTGCTCGGGTTACAGACATGTACATGTGGGTTGTGGTTCTATATGGGATTGCATAACTGTGAGTCCCCCAAATAAAAGATTTCTAAATAAGCAACAATCCAAAATTTATTCAAAATGTAATGCATAATGAATCCAAGGTTTTCTGGCACAGCTGGACCATGCTGCATTATTTGATCCCTCTGTAGCCTTGGTACTAGGGGAAAAACATGTACATTGTTCACTGTGCAATACTGTCATGCCACACACTGCCATCAATCACTGCCTGAAACAGCGCGTCTCAAATTCCAGACTACTGTGTGCTATGAACTGCAGTGATACAAGTATGTTGCTCTTACAGAAACCTAATGGAAAACCAAGCCTTCTAATGTTTTACAGAGACAATGTTTTCCTAGTCATTCTTCAGCATAGAAGTATCAAATAATACATTTTTAGATTGTACTGTGTCAGAAGATTTGATTTTAAATATTGCCGTTTAAATTGCTGACTTGAGTTTCATAAAAAAAATATTTCAATCAATCTGGGCTTAGAATTAAGACAGAATTTCCAACAGATTCTGAAAAGGCCTGAATCATACTTCCACCATTCTGTATGCCTATGTGAAACAGTACTCTGAGCACTAATGATCATAAAATCAAACTATTGACCAACTCTGAAAAACACTGAAGATGCTTTATGTCCTGCAGCATCAAATATTTAGCAAAGATTTAATTCTTTAAACAACCATATCCATCTCATTGGTATGCAAATTTCCTTTTGTCTTAAGCAAATGGTAAAATTATATGAACAGCAAATAATTGTTTCAAAATGAATTTATGATTTAGTATCAGTAAATGTTTGATGTGTATACCTATATTTATATACCCATATATCGTAGTTTGTTTCTCCATTGCTGTGACAAAACACTCTGACCACTACCAACTTGGGGAGGAAAGGGTTTATTTGTCTTACATCTCCCAGGCCACAGTTCATCAGGGAGCCCAAGGTAGGAACTCAGGGCAGGAACCTGGAAGCAGAAGCTGGAGCACAGGCCATGGAGGAACTCTGCTTACTGGCTTGCTTGCCTGGCCCCTGCTCAGCTTGCTCTCTTAACCAACACAGGCCCGCCTGCCCAGGGGTGGCACCACCCACAATGGGCTGGGCCCTCCCATATCACTCAATAATCAAGATGGTGCCCCATGGACATGGCCACAGGCCAGTCCAATGAAGACAATTCCCCAGTTGAGGCTCCCTCAGCCCAGGTGTGTCAAGTTGACACTAAAGCTATCCAGCACACCATACATATAAAAATTTCTCAGGTAAACAGCGGTCAACAAATGGAGAAGTTTTAGAACGGGGGTAGTTCTTTCGGTGGCATTCCACCCTCAACCATGGTCATTGTGAAAATGTACATTCCTTGCATCTCTCTTCCTGCTGATATTAAGTTTCATTTAATTGTGAGAGCCTGGGAGAGTGATTTGACCTCTCAGCCACTGAAGACAGGAAGAACTTTCCCTTCCTGCCTAATACAGTCTCCTTTCTCATCTAGATGTGCGCCCTCCATTCAAGATCACACAGGCCCCAGAACTTCACACAGCTGTTATGCTCCAGGGTCTTGTCCCAGGGTACAAGGACCATTAATGCTAGTCTTCTTGGTTTTGCTGCATTAATAGTAAGGGAACACCTATGAAGATGAACAAGAGGCAAGCTACTTATTGGTTTTTTTTGACTATAATATAAATACCCTGGTCCAAAAGCCTGAAAAACCCTGGCTTCCTTTGTATCATAGGGCCAACACCCAAAGCAAACAGTTTTCAGTCCTCGCAGTCATCAGAGTACCTGGGTAGCTTAAAAATACGTCACCAGTGCACTTACCTACATGCCTACATGGAGGCATAACACTCATACACATAAAAATAATAAATAAAATATTTTTTTAAAATCCGGAGCAATAGTTTAAGTACAGTCTATAGCAGCATCATTTAGGAAACAGTTTTTTTTAAAAAAAAGGAAATTAGAGGGCCCTTTTACAAAGAAAAGAAAGAGGGGTGGGGGAAAAGGAGAATAGGAAGAAGAGGGAGCGGAGGGAAATGGAGGCGAAGCAGGCACTCTTCTAGCGAAGGCTTCAGTTTGTGGTTTCAGTTTGAGCTCAAGGCCTCAAGGTGGCTCTGATGCATATGAGTCTGTGAATCACTGAGCTGAAATCACCAATCAAAATCTCTTGGAATGAGGACTAGGAAACAGTTGTTTGAAAAGTTTTCAAGGTGACACTGCATGTACTGAAAGTACTCGGAGAATGCTCAGGAGAATTCTTATCTACCAAGTAGTAGATCAGTTAAAATACACCTAAGTATATTCATAAGTCCTGTCTTTGAAGTTTGAAGTTACACAACTTATCTTCAGTGATTTTAAAACAACACTAATGGTGAAATGACTGTGATTACTGTAAATCTAGCACTCAGGATATAACAGGCTCATCTGTTCATTCATTTGCAAGGAATAAGCAGCACCAGGGCATCTCACTTTATAGGTCTAATGATGGTCAATTTTAATGACGTCACACATTTAAGGCTCCAAATTGTGTATTCTATATCTTTCAGTGATGAAATACTGTTTCCTCTTTTCTGTTTATACTCAAGCAGCATGGCATTTGACTTAATGCAATGGATAATACTAAGAACATTTTCAGATACAATTTTATATTATACATTTTGTAACTTCATACTTACATGTCTCTATTTTTGAAAGTTTTCCTACCTAACTGCTTAAGCATCACAAGATGGTTATATTATCTTTGTTATTGTCATTGCAAAGTACAACTGTGTTTTTTTATTTAGATTGACTTTTACCATAGTATTTTAGATACGCAAGAAGGAAAAACAGTTTAACTCCCATGTACCTACCAATCAGCTTCCACAGTTGTCAGTATATGACAAATCCTACTTTATGCTCTCCCAGTCCCATGACTCAGGTTAATTAAACTCTTCCATGAGCTAAAGGCTCTTCAGGAGAGCTAAAGGCTTTAAAAACAAAACAAACAAAAGACAAAACAACTCACAATGCAACCACTGTGGAAATCAATGTGGAGATTTCTCAAACATCTAAAAAACAAAACTATGATATGACCTACTGCACCCTCCTAGGCTTATACCCAAAGGACTCTATATTTTACCACAGGGATACCTGCATATCCATGTTTATTGCTGCTCTATTCACAGCAGCAAGGAAATGCAATCAGCCTAGCTGTCCACCAACAGCCTAGATTTCCATCAACAATGAATGAAGGGATAATGAAATTGCAATACATATATACAATGGAAATTTACTGAGCCATAAAGAAAACTGTAAGTTTAAAAATTTCAAGAAAATGTATAGAACTATATTAAGTGAGGTGACCCAGGCTCAGAAAGACAAATGTCACATGTACTCATATGTGGATCCAAATGGCCTCATTTCTGTTGCTGAGTCACTAAAGTATATGCTGAGTCTGTAGAAAGCTGGTCTTTGAAGTATGAAAACTGCTGAGTAGGAGGCTCACACCTTCATTCTAAGAAATAGCTGCAGGCACCCAATAGGTTTGGCCAGGACTGGGCTGCATTTCAGTCTAGGATCTGTCACTAATTAAAGATTAGGAACAAATCTAGGAAAAGTTTACCAGACTAGCCTGATCATCGGAATTAATTACGGGACTTATAAAATGTGCTGAGTCCTAGAAAAGAATCCAGGCCTCAAACCTACTGCATCAGAATCTCTGGGGATGGGGGCCTAGAGATGGTTTTGAAACCTCACCCCAAGAATATATCAGCTAACACTGGTTGGTGAACTATCTGCAGAAATAAACCCTGCTGACTGCAACTTCCATTTCCATCAAGTAAACAGTGAGCATATAAACTGGTATCAACATAAATATAACTGGCATAAAATCCAATCCTAGCTCTTGAGACATTTATCATTACATGGCATTCTGGCCTACAAAACAATCTCTTAAGTTTGGTGATTCAGACACAGTGTTCTTATACATAGAATAGTTAGGTGGTTAATTCATTTTTTTTTTTTCACTATAAAGTGTGGAACTAAATCCTGGAAGAAATGGCTCACAAGCAAGGCGGAGGCATTAGTGTTTGTAATCCTTTACTTGATTTATTCAATCCTTAGACCCCTTTTTCCAACCAGCCATATTTTTGTAGGGGAGAAGGGTTGTTCTGGTACTGGGGACTGAATCCAGGGTATCTATCACACATGCTAGACAAGCACTCTAATACTAAATTGCATTCCTGGTCTTTTTACTTTTGTAATGCAGGGTCTTGCTAAGATTCCCAGGCTGGACCTGAACTCCTTCTGCAGTGCAGGCAGGCCTTGGATTTATAACCCTCCTGCTTCAGCTCTTCAGCAGTTGGAAGCCAGGCCTGGCTTCCAACTTCTTGAAAAAAGAGTTTTTATATGTTTTCTCTATTTTTTTATTATCTAAATCTTCTATTTCCAATGGCCCAATTTAACTCAGTTCTTCTTTCAACCAAAATTAAGTATTCTAGACAGGAACTGAGCAGGGAGCACTAAAAAGTTAATCACCTAATTTTTCCTTCAAAATATCCCATCCTTTGAAATTGCTCCATTGTAGTCCAGCTCAGCTGTTTACCACCCCAGTTCTGATTCACTGCAAACACTGCGGTATCCATATCTATTAGAACAGATTTATCTTAAAGCATACCTTGACTATGCTACTCATCTTATCTTCCCTCTTGACTAATGAGTTAAACTCAAAGACCCCATCTGTGTATTTAATGCCCTTTTTGTGTGTCTTTTTGAGACAGGGTCTCCCTGTAGCCCCAGCTTGCCTGGATTGCACTATGTAGACCAGGCTGGCCTTGAACTCGCAGATCTGCTTGCCTGCTGGGATTAAAGGCATACACCACCATGCCCGGCTTTTAATGCCCTTTTAAGGAAGTTACAAACAAGCATCCTGACTTGCTGGTCTACAATCATGCCTCGCTCATCAGCCTGTTGATATCTGCTCCATCTTCTTCTCTACCATCTTCTGCTGCTCTGTGCACCATTTCAAACCCTTAAGATCCAGGTTAAGCGTCTCAGCACCCATAACACTCATTCTGTCCCATCTGGCTCTTACAAAGATCTTCCTGTTTAATAAATGGATTTTTTTTTCAATTGAGGCTATGCATAATGCTACATTCTCCAATTCTAGATGATATAAAATTTCCATTTTTAAGGAATGGACCTTTTCCAAAGGAGAAGAATTTCATTCATTTAGAGTGTGTGTGTGTGTGTGTGTGTGTGTGTGTGTGTGTGTGTGTGTGCGTGTGTGTGTATGTCCAAGCCACGGAACACATGAAGGGCACACACATGTGGATGCTGCAGATTGAACTCAGGTTGTCAGGCTTGGAAGCAAGCACCTTTACCCACTGAACCACTTTAAACAGACTAGTTCTTTCCTTCTACCACATGGGTCCTGGGGATCAAACTCTGGTTGTTAGGCTTGGAGGGCAGGAGCTTTTATCTACTGAGCCATCTTGCCAGCTCTCGCTTACACTCTTTGTTGGTTTCTTCAACTATATTCACTAAGAGATTTTTTATGTTCCTTATTATTTAGTATATTGCTTTATATATAACTACACCATAATATTTATTTTATCTCTGATTTGATAAGCAAATCTATCTATAGAAGCACAATCCAGTTACTTATTTTCCTGTTCTTGTCAACTTCCTGAACTATAAAGTTTAAACAATCAAATGAACAAAACTACACTTCACTCTAGAATAATAAAACCAAAATCTGTAGAGGCAGGACTTAGCCATCAGTTCTTTCTCAAGTATTCCAGGACATTATAAGTTAAATTAAGCATCACTGTAGATTAAATCTCTCATTTTATAGAAGAATAAAATGGGGCTCTAGGAGGTTAACTGACAACCTAAAGGCATCAATTCTTATCAAAGGCAGGAGTGGATCCAGCTTTAGGTAACTTTCTCAGTGTCCTTTCATCTGTATTATACTTCTCAACCCTAACGAGATGATCTTTTTAATCCCAGGTACATAGCGTAAATTAGTTAGTAACATAAAAAAAAATCCCAAATTTTAAGATTTTAAAAAATTCTATGTATACATGTGTGTGTCTGGGTGTGGTTATGTGCATGCAGAGAGGGTTTTGGATCTCCCGAAGTTGAAGTTACAGGTAGCTTATAGCCTGTGGGTGCTTGGAACAGAACTAAAGTCCTCTACAAGAGTTGTGTGTGCTCTTAACTGCTAAGCTATCTCTCCAGGACCCCAAATCTGAATTTTAAAATGCAAAATCGGCAGAGCAGCACTGGCCTTCCATTTCAGGATGCCTCCTCAAAACCTCCATTCAAGAGTTGCTCTGAGAGATGTGAAAATGAGTATAATTCAAAAACAAAAATCCATTCCAATCGACTGTAAAAACAATCTTATGGCAGAGAGTGAGCTAATCTCTGCAATTCTTCCTAGTTCTAAAATCCATTGTCATGACTGTGACTTAAATATACTTCATGTCTTACACACTTAACTAGACAATAAATAAATGTACAAACTGATGGAAGGTGGGGGGGTGCAGTGAACTTGAGGTCATGGAGCCTGACTCATTCCCCTCTGTCTCCTAGATCAGCTCATTGAATAGAAGACTATGAGCTGAGTATTCTCTGTATTGTTCCCTTACCTTCCTCTTCTGCTTTAGTACAGGCTTTTACCATCTCCCACCTGAATCTCCAAACTTGACTAGACTGCTGATGATCAGATTCCTTCTTTCTTTTTTAATTATAAATTTTTTTTATGTTTATGAGTGTACTACCTACATGTGTGTAAGTGTACCTATGTTATGCAATGCCTGTGGAGGTCAGAAGAAGGCATCAGATCTCCTGGAACTGTAGTTATGCACGGTTGTGAGCCTCCATGTGGGTGCTAGGAATTGAACCCGGGGCCTCTGCAAAGAGAAGTGCTCTTAACCACTGAGCATCTCTCTAGCCCCCAGACTCTTTCAGTTCTCTCTCTAGTCATTGTAATAGAAGGCAAATGTTGACAATTTTAATGTGTGATTGTCTTCAATTAACAGGGCTTTGGACACTAACTTTATGCCTCTCACTATGTAATTACCGATTCTTAGCTGTCTCCCCTGGGAGGGTCTTCAATCATACACTCAAGACTCAAGTCTTTATTAAGTACCTTCTTTGTCATCATCTATGTACTGGAAATACAGAAGTGAGCAAAATAAAATCTCTGCTCTGATAGTCTAATAAGATAAATGGGCAAAATTTTAAATAAACTGTTAAGAGTGACAGGTGATATGAAGGTAAAGGCAGGAAACAGGTACTAGTCTGGAAAGGCAAGTTGAAGAAATCCTGCCTTAGGAATATCTGAGCATAAATCTGACAAGGGGGAGGAGCAGTCACACAGGGAAGGAGAAAAGGATATTCAGAGGAAGTTGTGAGTGTGAAGGTCTCCAGAGCCTGACAAAAGTCAAATAATTATAGGTGAAATATTGCTGAGCTCATGCTCTAGTAAGGACACTGTGCCAGTCACCTCATGGTTCTCCTCTGCAGGGGAAAAATGCCCAAACTACTGAGGGCATTGCCTTTCTCTGCTGAGCATGACTTTTGTAAGGTCAGTACAGATGCTCAGCAATTCCTTCATCTACAACCACAGAGAACCCAATTTTTGTATCCATGTTACCTTACATTGCAAGTACTTGTGTACAGAGACAAGCTTCCTCAAATTCTTGAGAACTCATCTCGAGACCTTTTATTTTACAGTTCTGTTCTTCACACAGCATTTAGTTCAGGCAGTTGTGCTAAGGATGGTCCCAACTGAGTAACTGGGTAGCCTTTACCTAGATGAGATTAGCAAAACACTCAGAGGGGCAGCACCTGCCCGGATTGTAGAAAGGCGAGTAACCCTCTCCTTCAGCAAAGGCCTATTAAGGCGATCTCCCAATACGCATTTCCATAATCATCCTTTATAATATTGCCTCATGGGTCTCTATATTTTTCCCGGCTAAGTGGGGAGGTTAGTCAACTTCCCAAGGGAATTTCTGAATCCTAAATACATGTATCCATTGCTAGGAGGGGTGGGGCGTGAAGGCAGGAGGGACTTGATACTACAGCGGGGTGGCGGGGATTTCTGTGGCTGGCAAGGCCACACCCAGTCATTATCCACTTTTGCTGTCCCTACCAGGTGCTCCACCTTTCTTTACTTGAGCTCTATCAATTTTCTTTACTCTCTTTGAAAAGAACCATCCAAAAATGTGACCGGACATATAGAATTTCTTTCTTTCTTTCTTAAGAAAAATCCTATCAATAACCCCTCTCCCGGTGATTAAGAGGTAAAGTGCCAAGAGTTAAGAAAACAGAGAGAGCATAGTCCGCCCTTAGCAGCAATCTGAGATCATGACCCGGACAAATCAGTCGCCGGGTTGCCAAGTCTTCTAATGTAAGAAGACGGATAAACTCCCTTCTCGCTCACTGAGAACATTCCCCAGGAGAATTTGGCTGCGACGACTTTAAAAGGTTTTGAAGGCAGCAGCAAGCTTTGTAGTAGTAATGCTATCTCCTCAAGCCTCGCATTTAGACGTGCTTGGATGAATTTTGGCCCCGGGTACCCCCCACCGCTTTCCACGTGCCGTTTTAACTCCCTTCTACACTCTTCACTCCCAACCCAGTCCCGGATATTCTCTTCTTGTTACCTGCTGACAAAGTCTCCAGGCTTGGGCAAACCTGTGCAGCCAAGGTACGGGCCAGCACCGAAGGGGTGCCGGCAGCCGGCACGGATTCTCAAGCCGAGGATTCCACCACCGGAGCAGCGCGCACCGCCCTCCACGCGGTCCAGAGCGCGCTCCAGCCCCAGTAACCGGCCACGCCCACTCCTGGCTAAGCTCCACCCCCCAACACCGAGCTTTTTTAGCCCTTGGCAGGCGCCGTAGTCAGCCTGCCTCGGCTCCCACGGCGAGGGCGCGCCCGTGGCTGCCCGAGTCGGGGTGGACCTGGCGCTTCCCAGGCATCCTTCCAGTTCGCTGCAGTTAGACCCAGAGGAGGGGAGCGTCACCCCCTGGGTTTCGGCTGCAGCCGGCGTGCCTTGAGGCGCGCTGCGGCTACAGAAGCTGCGGCAGCTCCAGCGCCGGGTACGGAGAGCGCAGCCTTCGCGCTCTGCAGACCGGGCGGGGCAGACCCTCGGGGCAGCGTAGCCGCGCGTCCTGACCCGCCTTCCTCGCGTGTCCCCGCCCCTCGCTCTGCGCCTCCACCCCGACTGCGGGCTGAGCTGTCCGCCGCAGCGCCGGGTCCGTGTGCAGACCGCCTGTGGGAGGCACTCCTACCCCAGCCACAGCCTTGCCCAGCAGCATGTCGGCGCTCGAGTGGTACGCCCACAAGTCGCTGGGTGATGGCATCTTCTGGATTCAAGAACGATTCTACGAGTCGGGCAACCGCGCCAACATCTGGCTGGTGCGCGGCTCGGAGCAGGACGTGGTGATCGACACGGGCCTCGGGCTTCGCAGCCTCCCAGAGTATCTCTACTCCTCCGGCCTCCTGCAGGACTGCGGGGTTAAAGAGGATGCGGGGCGCCGGCCGTTGCTGGCCGTGGCCACCCACGTACACTTCGATCACTCTGGCGGTCTCTACCAGTTCGACCAGGTGGCCGTGCACCACGCCGAGGCCGAGGCCCTCGCTCGCGGGGACAACTTTGAGACCGTGACCTGGCTCTCCGACAGCGAGGTGGTGCGGGCGCCCAGCCCGGGCTGGAGGGCCAGGCAGTTCCGAGTGCAGGCGGTGCAACCTACCCTTATCCTGCAGGATGGTAATGGGCCCCACGGGCGCGCGCGCTCGGGCTGAGGGAAGGGCTTGGGGAGAGACTGCTGCATGTTGCAGACCTGCCTGACCACAGTGGGATTGTTGCAGTGCATTGCAGGAACTCTGTTTCCGTCTCACCCTTTCCTGATTGTAAAAGCCCAGAGCCCAGGCCTTGTTGCAGCCTTCTTACCAGGAGACCAGCTCTGGCACTGTAGCCATTCTGACCGAAGCCGGCACCACCCCCTAGTCAGCTTCCTGTCTGCTACAGTAGTAACACTACCCGGACTTGTGACTAGGGATTTTCCGTTCTTTTCTCCCAAGCACCCAGTCTAACATTTCCAGGAGCTTTTGTAACGAGTAGACTTTTAAGGAATGACACCTCGTGAAGAGAGTGTGTCGTGCCCTATCTGTGCTTTGAGAACTGCTGACTTCATCTGCTCACTCTACCCGGTGAGCACGTCCCACCTGTAGGCTTAAAAAAGCTATTAGAGCTGTGTGGTTGCAGTCGTTTCATTCATCCTTATCGTTCAGATGGGTTTGTTTTTTTAATGTTGCTTCACAAGAGAAAAGGCTTGACAGTGAACATAAAAGTAAAAATGCCTGGCTTGTGGCAAGACAGATACCTGGTCTGGATGAAAGCAAGGCCTATGGAAGATTAATGAGGTTTTTTTTTTTTTCTGATGGAGACCGAGTACTGGGGTTAACGTGTAGAGACTTTGGTTCTATGAAAGACAGGATGGAATTTCAGAGAGAAACTGATGGAATAAAGCAAAATAGAGTAGGGCTCCCGCCCTCTTCTCTCCAGGAACTGCCGTCATTGAACTAATTAGTCACAACAGCAATATTTGGTATGTTAATTTCATATTTTCTTTTTAGGAGATTTTAAATTTTATCCTCACAACATGTGCGAAATGAAGCCAGAGAGCCCTGGCTAAATGTCTTGCCTAGACTCCACTGAGCAAAGCCATGATCAAAGCTGGGATTTGATCCAGGACACATTACATCAAAGCATGCAGAATACCCATAGATTCTGCTACCCAAGAAATAATTATGATAGTTCTCAGTAGAGTATGAAAGTTCTTTTTTCTATATTAATCCTTTTAATTCCTGAAATACTCCTCTGTAATGTAGAAAAATCCAGTTACTGCAGTACAGTGAAGCTGGATAAAGACTAGACAAAGTGGATAAGATCTTTTTGTGATATTAAAAAATTGTTAAGATTCTAGTCCTTATACCCCCCCACCCCCACTAGCAGTCTCTTAATGAATGCCTTTTTTTTCCTTTGATTTTTGTTTGGGTGATGTTCATTGTTGTTTATTTGTTTTTGACAGAGGAACACTATGTATCCCTGGCTGGCCTGGAACACATAAGATCACCTGCCTCTGTCTCCTGAGTGCTGGGATAAAAGGCGTGTTCCACTACACGTGCTTCATCATGAAAGTTTTAAGTCTAAAGATTTTAAATTATTTATTTTTATGCGTATGCGTGTATTGTCTGCATGAATGTTAAGTGCACCATGTGTGTGCAGTGCCCATGGAGGCCAGAAGAGGGTGCCAGATCCCCTGGAACTGGAGTTATAGACAATTGTTAGCTGCCAGGTAGGTGCTGAGAACTGAATCTGGGTCCTCCGCAAGAGCAGCCAGTGCTCTTAACCACTGAGCCATCTCTTCATCCCAAGTCTGAAGATTTTTTAAAAAGACTTTAGATGGTGGGGGTGGGAGGTGTCTTAACTTTTGACAGTTTGAGATGTAAAATATACATTTACATTAGATACAATTTTCATTACTATATTCTTGTTAAAATAGATGGTTTCAGATATAAACTTTCCAAGCAGTTGACGAATATTCTGACACCAAGGCCAAACAAAAATGTTTTCATTAGTATTAAAATATAATATATTTAAAAGAAAAAAATGTTTAATTATTTACTTTTGTGTCTTACCAGCAATAGGAAGTTAAGGATAAAAGAATATTGAAGGCCAGTGAAATTACTTACTGGGTAAAGGTGCTTACTACAAAGCCCCACAGCCTGAGTTTGATCCCTGGATCCACCACTTGGTAGAAGAAGAGAACTGATTCTAGCAAATTGTCCTCTGACCTCCACACACACGTATGCCATATGTATGTGTACACAAATAAGTGTTAAATTTAATTTAAAAAAAAGAATGTTAGGGATTATTGTTCTACATTAGAAGTAAGAATGTCAGAGTACTATGTCTGAGATCACCTAGACCATTTGGGAAGGAACTGGGATTATAATCCTAGTTGATAGCAGGAATTCCAGAGTCCCAGTTGATAGTGGACACCTGAAATTTTTGGAACTGGAGACACATTTATGGAGTGCTTTAAGTCTTTGAAGGTGTGAAAAGAAAACAATATTTATGAAACACTTTGAAAGTGATAGTACTGTATTAGGAAGAGATGTTTTTTATTAGGAGCCAGATGCCTCACCCTCTCAAGTAGCTTCTGATCTCACTTCTCAGGAATATTAATTTCCGGTCTTCTGAATGATGTGGCCTGCTCACTTGCTATTAACACAGTCCAGATGCCTGCAAAGAGATATAAGATACTTATATTAAAAATTCATATACGTTTGCACACACACATATAACCATACTGGAACAGCTTTGGTTAGAACACAAGGAGGCTAAAATCATTTCAGTGAACTGATGATCACCTATCATGGAGAAGCATAAACCTGCACCTGTATAACCTAACAACCGGCTTCTAAATGAAGGGCAAGGAAAGAATAGCTATCTCATCTAGTGCATTATCTTTGATAGAAAAACAATTCCATCAAAGTGAAATAATGTCTTTCTGTAAGATGACAGCAATAGATCTTAGATACAGCTCAGACCTTTTGAATAAGAAACATCACTTTGCCTATTTTTCATAATATTCAAGTGATTCAAGTTCAAATGATCACCTTTTGTCCCCATTACACATTATAAACAGTTTGCTCAGAGTCACCAAGATACTGCTTCAGAGGGGTGGTTTCAGGTAGGCAAAGTTATTATGGAAATTAAAAACAAATGCATATCCCAGAAAGGTAGCTGATTGAACAAGCATGTATTCTGTTTCCCTCCTGGCATTCCACTAGTACTACCATTAAGAGATCATGATCTGTTTAAGTACAAATCTACGTTAGTCCAGGGGACTATTTTGGATGGTGGAAATACAAATCTACATTAGTCGAGGGGATTATTTTGGATGGTGGAAATTAGATGTGACTGAGTGAACAGTTCTGTACTGTGCCGAGGGTGGGAAATCAAGAGCCAATTCAGTTTACATCAGAAGCTTGAAATGGCTCAGGAATTAGCAGCAGTGGGAACTCAGTGGGGACAAAGGGAATACTAAAATAAGTGAAGTAGGTTGTGAACATTTTAAGAAGCTCTTAAAACTGTAGAACCCGTCTTAAGGGAATGCATCCTCTCCAGTTAGTTGATTCTCTACGGATAGAAAATAAAGGGGTTTCCTAATTGAGAAATGCTTAACACTATCGAGCTCAGGGATTCAACATGGAGAACAGGAAGGGTAAGAGTATGTGAGTGTTCAGTGTATATTTCCTGCTAGATACTCAGGAGAATGACAGCTAAGCCTTCTGTTCCACCCCACCCCCCATACCATGTAGGGAATTAGAAAATTCTTATCTGGGAAATCTGAGTCCTAGAGAAAAGACTTAAGATGCCCATGTGGAAGGCATGCCAAAGTCATCCCTAGCCTGATCACTCTACTGTCAAACCGACTTCCAAGTCCAGCATTGGAAGAGTAAGAGCAGAGATAACTTGAATAAGGTAAAGCAGAAGAGAACAGTGGAAGCAATCCAAGAATATATACCTCAGGTAAAATATCCTGCTGCATCCCTGAGGTTGAACTGAACAACTCAACGCTTCCCATCCTTCCCTCTTTCCTTCATTTACTTTACAGGGTTTCTTTTAAAAAACTAGCCAACCTCAAAAGACTGTGAAGTCAGACCTCAGCCAATGAGGAAAAGACACAAACTTCTGTCTGGTGTGCCTGTTTGATCTGAATGACACAATGCACCCTTTTACCAAAGTAAAAGCTGCCTTGCCAAGTTACTTTTGCTTTGTTCAAGTGTTTTTTATGAAGTATTGATGGGGTCCTTGGACCCCAGATTTTATTTCTAACCTAGCCAAAACATTAGGTGTGCTTAGGGGTGGTATGGGCCTAAGGAAGCCTTGTTGTTAGTGGAATCTCCAGGTGATTCTGACACAGTGAATGAGATATGTTGTACAATCAGATTATATAATGTTGTATAGTATGGTTACAACAGGGCACTCTTCTGCTTCATCCTTTTTTACGGGTTGGTATCATTGAAGAGGCAGAGGTGTGTAACCACTGTGGTTCAGGACTGAACTTCCTCCATGTTGCCTGGAACTTGTCAAAATGCAGATTCTTAGACACTATCCTGTATCTACTAAATCAGAAATGGGTTGGGACCAACAGTCTGCATTTTAACAAACCCTTCATATTGTTGGCAATACAATCTGGGGTGCAAGGACTCCACATGATAACCACAGAAAGAACATGTGGACAAAGTGAAAGTAACTTGTTGCCTCATTCTGGTAGTAGGGAAGCACACCAAGCTGAACATTTGATAGGTTTATTTTTCAGTCCTAACGCAAGACTGCTATGTCTTTTCCCTATTGACTGGGGTCTGACCTCATGGTTTTTTAGTTTGCTAATTTTCAAAGTGTATGTGTAAAGAAATGAAGGAAAGGGGAAGGGGTGGGCAGCTCTGGGCTTTCCAGCTCTGGGAATGCAGCAGGGCCTTTATATAAACAAAGTTTTGCAAGGTTGGGGGTGGGTCTTTACAAAATAGTATTACCAATATTGCATCCTTATAATAATTTTAATTCCTTAGAATTATTTCCCTCAACTTGACTTTGATACACACTAAAGTCTGAGCACAATGGTTATGATTTCATGAATTGCCCAAATTGCCTCATAACCAGAATCACCTTAGTTTCTTGTTCAGCATATAGGT